AGTGTTGAGGGGTGGGGAGCCAATAAGATCAAGCAGACAATAGCATATAGTAGGTCCTCAATTTATGGTTCTAATATATGGGGGTGGGGGGCCACCAAGCAACTATTTCACATTCTCTGGGCCCCCCGCAGACGAGCCACATTCTCACTGGAGATACTGGGTGGGTGAGACCGTGACTGAGTCCCCTTCCCTAGCAAGGCGCAGGTGTGTGTCTCAGGCTAGCCAGTGGGAGGCTCCCTCCTTGGAACAGGAGCCTCCAACAGCTGTAGCTTGTTCCACCTGAGTCGTGGCACCCTAACCACGCTGTCCTCACCAGGTGACTATTCCCAAAGGTCTCTCTTTCTGGGGCTGCCTTGCTTTCAACCCAGTTCCCCAGTCTCTCTTGGACTCTGGGAATGCCCATTATCCTTCTAGTTGATTCCCTTTTCCCTAGGTTAGCCAAAATCACCTTCTCTGGCTTAGGACCAAAGACAACTGATACTGACAAGTGGAAAAGAGGGGATTCCGAATCCCCTCAGGGAGAGGACACACTCTGAGCGGTCCTCAGTCCTTGTGACAGGAGGGCTGAATCCTGGGGCGGGGGGGGGCTCTTGAGGGCAGGATGCAAGTCCTCAATGTGGGCTTCAAGGCCCTAACAGTACCTTGGCCTCCCACCACCCTCCTTGTTCATGCCACTCCAGCCTCACTAGCCTCCAAGCTGTTTGTCACACCCAGTGGCACACTCCCACCTCAGCCTTTGCACTTTCTATTCCCTTCACCTAGAATGCTCTTCCTCCAGAAATCCCCACAGTCTACTCTTTCTCTTCTTCACTCAAATGTCACCTCCTCAGTGAGACCTCCCTCAAGTACCCTACTTTAAAATACAAACCCTACCTGTGTGGGCTCTCCTTGTCTCCTTTGCCTACTTAATTTTTCTCTAGAAACTTCCAACATCCCACATCATCTGCTTATTTATTTTGTTGTCTACCTCCTAAGCCCTTCAAGGGCAGGCTTTTGTCTGACTTGCTCACTTCGGTATCAGCAGCACAGTAACCTGGCACAGGGTAGGTGCTCAATAAATGTTTGCAGACCCGAGTTGCAGTCTGGGTGGCCGTGGTCAGGAATTTGGTGGAACAAGCGTTGGTCCCAAAGAGGCCATTGCCTGCCTGGCCCTGGAGGTCCTGGCCGACAGGTGCCCTATTGAGGTCCTGGGAGGATCCCACTCTCCCAGTGATCTGCATGTGGGGAAGGGAGCCACTCAAGGCCATATCTTGGAAGACTCTCAATAATAATAATAAAATAATAACAACAATAATAATAATAAACAGCAGCTATCTTTTACGGTTGCTGGCCTTTTTCCCCAGGTCTCGGTTAGGCGCTTTACATTCACTATCTCATTTACGTCTCATATCATTCCTATGACGTTATCATATTATATCCATTTTAAAGATGAGAACACTGAGGCTCGAGCCTGGCACAGAGCAGACCTCAAACAAATGATGCCTCCCCTACCCAGCCCAGTAGAGGTTGTGAGGGGCCGGGGGCGCCGGGCGTGGGGGGCGGGGTTTCCCGCGGAGGGCGGGGCGCTGGCCGTTCGGGGACCCGAGCGGGCGTCCGGCCCCAGAGGACCCTCCGGCCCCGCACCAGGCCGCGCAGTGGCGGCTCTCTGGAGGGGCGGGGCGGCCGCGCGGTGGGCCCTGACGTCACCGGGCGCTCGGCCCCGCCCCGCCGCGGCTGCTGCAGCCGAGCCAGCGAGCAGGCACCGCCGCCGCCCGGACTGGGATCGCAGCGCGCGCGGCCATGGCCTCGGGTCCCGCGGGTAAGCGGGCGCGGGGCGCGGGGCGCGGGCGCGGGGGCGGCGGGAGGACAGCCCCGGGCCCCCGCCCCCAGCGCTGGGCTGACCGGCCGTCCCCCCCGTCTCGTCCCACAGAGGCGGACACGCGACAGAGGCTGCTGCGCACCGTCAAGAAGGAGGTAGGTGCCGGGGCGGGGGCGGGGGCGGGGGGCGCGACCCTGGGGAAGGGGGGTCTGTCGCAGCTCCCCGGGGAAGGGTCTCTAAAGGAGTAGTGGTTCGTGGCAGCGGGGGCGACCACCTCGGGTGCGGGGCTCACCTGGGTAGGTATTTACCTCCTGCAGCACTGGAGGCGGGTGAGTTTGGGGGTGGGGGCCTCAGGTATTGGGGGGCTCTGGATGCTGTGTGCAGGGGCGGATGCAGCGGGAGGGCCCCCCAGGTGTGGGGCACACCTGAATGTGTCTGAGTAGGACCCCCTCTTGTGGAGGAGCAGGTGGGTGGGTCTCACTAAGGTGAGGCAAGCACCTGGGGGGGCCAACTGGACGTATTGGGAGGTGGGGGTCTGGATGGGGCTGTGGAAGGAGGACCAGACTTCGGAAAAGGGGAAAGATTCACTTTGGGAAAATAACAAGCCCCTCCCCGTCTCCTCTTCCCCCCAATTCTAAATCTTTGGATCCACCCCCGGGAGCCAGGGGACTCCCTCCCTGAAAGTCCCTGGTCAGTGGGTTACTCCATTTGTGGGCATGTACCAGGGCGTCTTGGCAGGTGGGTTCCCCTCACCCACCCCTCCCCACCCGCAACACGCAGTAGGGTGAGAATTAGGTAGGGATCAGCTGCCCTCTGCCCCTTCACTCTCCTTGGGGCCAGCTGGGGAGCCCAGTCTAGCCTTTAGTTAATAGCGCTTGACTTCCCGCAGAGGGGTGAATCTATAGTGATGGGTTCCTGGGAAGCATTTAGATGCCTGGACCTTGTGTGCGTGTGTGTAGAACACATTCACTCCTGTGTGGGCGAGGACATGTGAGTGTGTGTGTCTGAGAACATTTGTGCATCTGTCCGGAGATATCCAAGTGTATCTTCATATTGCGTGTCCATGTGTCTGTGTGTTTATCTGTTTTTGTGAGTATGGTGTGTATCTGTGTGATGCATGAGTCTGTGTGTGCATGAGTGAGGCTGTGACCATGTATGTGTGACTGTATGTGTATATCTTGCCTCCCTTATGTCACCTCACATCCCTCACCCTGGGACCCCATCACTGCTGAGCTGATCCCCTATCTTGAGTCCTCAGCCCGAGACCATGAATGGCTGCAGACCTTGGGGGCTGGCCTGATTCCTTTGCCTTTTAGTGTGTGTGTGTGTGTGTGTGTGTGTGTGTGTGTGTGTGTGTGTGTG